AGAGAGAGAGAGAGAGAGAGAGAGAGAGAGAGAGAGAGAGAGCGCAGTGCCATGAAAGTGGAAGATACATCAGGATTTCCATCTCTCTCTCTCTGAATAGAGATGCCAGTCCAAGCGTCTTCAGGAAATGGCTGTAACTTTAAATGCTTTGTCAAGTGCAAGCATGCAGACTTTTTCTATGGGAATGAAAATGGAGCATTCCAGCATTTTTCCTTTCTTTTCTTTTTTTGTGTGTAGGAGAGGCATAGAGCCTGTGTCAAAATTACTGGGATACAAAATCAGTGTGGGGCAAGTGATGCTCTGTATTCTTGGTGCTGGGGGGGGCAGTGGGAGGGCTTCTCATGTTCTGGCCCCACTGCTAGACCTCCTGAGGGCACCTGGTATTTTTGGCTGATGTGTGACACAGTGTATTTATCTTTTGTATATGGTGTCCCATTTGTGCTTACCTTACAATAGTAGGCTGATGCAGTGCTAGGGGCAGGCCTTCTGTGCTGCTGCTAATCCACCAGTGGCTCTTAGCAACAAGGTATAGATAGGAACTCTCAGTGTGGGGCAAGTGATGCTCTGTATTCTTGGTGCTTGGGGGGGACAGGGGAAGGGCTTCTGGTGTTCTGGCCCCACTGCTGGACCTCCTGAGGGCACCTGGTATTTTTGGCTGATGTTGGACTGGATGGGCCACTGGCCTGATCCAACATGGCTTCTCTTATGTTCTTATGTCTGGCGGAGTGATGCTCTACATTCTTGGTGCTTGGGGGGCAAGAGTGGGAGGGCTCCTGGAGTTTTGGCCCTGCTGGTGGACCTCCTGAGGGCACCTGGGTTTTGTCCAGTGTTTCCTATAAGTGCAAGCTTATAGCTAACAGTTTTTTAGCCTCCGGCTCATACATTTTTGTCTTAATTCAGGAAAGATGCCTCCAGAGCAAACTAATTTATGCAGTAGCCGAATTGTTCACTCATAGCTTCAATGCCAGTCGCTCACAAAGGAACATCCTGGGATAGGCCTCCAGCCCCATCCCTATGGAAGTAGCCCACTTATAGAGCACAACAAGGAAAGGAATGAAGGAAGCTACTTCTTTTATATTTGTATGAATATAATTAGTATATATTGATTATAAACATCTGTTCTCTTCTCCCCATTAGGGACCCCAGTAGCTTATTTTTGTTATAGTTATTATTAATTTACTTAATTCATTTATACCCTACTTTTCTCCTCAATGGGGGTCCAAAGTAGCTTACATCATTCTCCTTCTCCCATTTTATTCTCACAGAAATCCTGTGAGATAGGTTACGCTGAGAGAGTGTAACAGGCCCAAGGTCACCCTGGACCATAACCAACAGACCAAAAGGGCTAAGGACAAGAAACAAAAAACAGTCATCAAGAGGTTTATTTTAGTGATAAATGAAACAACAGTTGGCACCCTGGAGGATTCCTCTTTGCTGCTGAGTGATGTCCCCCTACCATCCTGCTCTTCTGGGTTGAAGACCACAACTCTAAATCATTGTGTTTTGTTTAGGCAAAAATTAGCGGAGATTTCGTTGTTGTTCTGGATCCAGACTTGTCAACATTATTGTTGTTGTTCTGGATCCAGACTTGTCAACATCTTTTTCCATCTCAGTTTCAGCATGTTCAGACCCCATTAGCCTATACTTGAAATTGGGTTTTTTTCTCCCAGTGTGTATCACCTTACACTTACCAACACTGAACTTCATTTGCCATATTGTCACCCACTCACCCAGTTTTGGAGCTTTTTACAGTCAGCCTTGGTTTTCATCATCCTGAATAATTCTGTGTCATCAGCAAACTTGGCCACTACACTACTTAGCCCTAGCTCCAGATATTTGAAGAATAAATTAAATAGTACCGGCCTCGGTACCAATCTTTGTGGGACCCCACGGCTTACTTCGCTCCATTGGGAGGACTGTCCTTTGATTCCTACTCTTTGCTTCCTGTCATTCAACCAGTAAGCAAATGCAGTATGTAACCAATGTAACACAATAGTGTATAGTGCTGCTCTACACTAGTACATAAAGTGGCACTATACACTATTACGTTACATTGGCTCCATACTGCACTTGATAGTGATTTTCTTTGGACCAGAATAGGAAGGTACACAATTGAAATGCCACTCAAGATACGTAGACCTGACTAGGGCAGAAAGTGATTTCAAATGAGGCTTCTTAATTACATCTCTTCCTT